TTGGGCAGCAAGTTAAAATTTTAGGATTTTGATTTTATATATAGTATAGATTGTATTACACTATTTTATAATATTAGAATATAATTTTAACGCAGAATTATTGTACGAATGGGAAAGTAGAAATCAATATATTTTATTAGGAAGAGAGATTTTTTAGGAATTGGGCGGGAAGTTAAAATTTCAGGATTTTGTTTTTATATATAGTATAGATTATTGTACGAATGGGAAAAAGTAGAAATCAATATATTTTATTGGGAAGAGAGATTTTTTAGGAATTGGGCGGGAAGTTAAAATTTCAGGATTTTGTTATTATATATAGTATAGATGTACAATGGGAATTGTATTACACTATTTTAAAAGTTTAGAATAGAAATTTTAACCCGAATTATTGTACGAATGGGAAAGTAGAAAACAACATATTTTATTGGGAAGAGAGATTTTTTAGGAATAGGGCGGGAAGTTAAAATTCCAGGATTTTGTTATTATATAAAGTATAGATAGATGTACAAAGGTAATTGTATTACACTATTTTATAATTTTAGAATAGAATTTTTACCTAGAATTATTGTACGGATGGGAAAGTAGAAATCAATATATTTTATTGGGAAGAGAGATTTTTTAGGAATTAGGCGGAAAGTTAAAATTCTAGAATTTTGTTATTATATATTGTATAGATAGATGTACAAAGGGAATTGTATTACACTATTTTAAAATTTTAGAATAGAATTTTTACCCAGAATTATTGTACGAATGGGAAAGTAGAAATCAATATATTTTATTGGAAAGAGAGATTTTTTAGAAATTGGGCGGGAAGTTAAAATTCTAGGATTTTGTTATTATATATAGTATAGATGTACAAAGGGAATTGTATTACACTATTTTAAAATTTTAGAATAGAATTTTTACCCAGAATTATTGTACGAATGGGAAAAAGTAGAAATCAATATATTTTATTGGGAAGAGTGATTTTTTAGGAATTGTGCGGGAAGTTAAAATTCCAGGATTTTGTTATTATATATAGTATAGATGTACAATGGGAATTGTATTACACTATTTTAAAAGTTTAGAATAGAATTTTTACCCAGAATTATTGTACGAATGGGAAAGTAGAAATCAACATATTTTATTGGGAAGAGAGATTTTTTAGAAATAGGGCCGAAAGTTAAAATTCCAGGATTTTGTTATTATATAAAGTATAGATAGATGTACAAAGGTAATTGTATTACACTATTTTAAAATTTTAGAATAGAATTTTTACCTAGAATTATTGTACGGATGGGAAAGTAGAATTCAATATATTTTGTTGGGGAAGAGAGATTTTTAGGAATTGGTCGGGAAGTTTAAATTCCAAGATTTTGTTATTATATATTGTATAGATAGATGTACAAAGGGAATTGTATTACACTATTTTAAAATTTTAGAATATAATTTTTACCCAGAATTATTGTACGAATGGGAAAGTTGAAATCAATATATTTTATTGGAAAGAGAGATTTTTTAGGAATCGGGCGAGATGTTAAAATTCCAGGATTTTGTTATTATATATAGTATAGATGTACAAAGGGAATTGTATTACACTATTTTAAAATTTTAAAATAGAATTTTTACCCAGAATTATTGTACGAATGGGAAAAAGTAGAAATTAATATATTTTATTGGGAAGAGAGATTTTTAAGGAATTGGGCCGGAATTTAAAATTCCAGGATTTTGTTATTATATATAGTATAGATGTACAAAGGGAATTTTATTACACTATTTTAAAATTATAGAATAGAATTTTTACCCATATTTATTGTACGAATGGGAAAGGTTGAAATCAATATATATCATTGGGAAGAAAGATTTTTTAGGAATTGGGCGGGAAGTTAAAATTTCAGGATTTTGTTATTATATATAGTATAGATGTACAAAAGGAATTGTGTTACACTATTTTAAAATTTTAGAATAGAATTTTTACCTAGAATTATTGTACGGATGGGAAAGTAGAAATCAATATATTTTATTGGTTAGAGAGATTTTTTAGGAATTGGGCGGAAAGTTAAAATTCCAGAATTTTGTTATTATATACAGTATAGATGTACAAAGGGAATTGTATTACACTATTTTAAAATTTTAGAATAGAATTTTTACCTAGAATTATTGTACGAATGGGAAAAAGTAGAAATCAATATATTTTATTGGGAAGAGAGATTTTTTAGGAATTAGGCGAAAAGTAAAAATTCCAGGATTTTGTTATTATATATAGTATAGATGTACAATGGGAATTGTATTACACTATTTTAAAATTTTAGAATAGAAATTTTACCCAGAATTTTTGTGCGAATGGGAAAGTAGAAATCAACATATTTTATTAGGAAGAGAGATTTTTTAGGGATAGGGCAGGAAGTTAAAATTCCAGGAAGTTTTTTCTTATATAAAGTATAGATAGATGTACAAAGGTAATTTTATTACACTATTTTATAATTTTAGAATAGAATTTTTACCTAGAATTGTTGTACGGATGGGAAAGTAGAAATCAACATATTTTATTAGGAAGAGAGATTTTTTAGGAATAGGGCAGGAAGTTAAAATTCCAGCATTTTGTTATTACATATAGTATAGATCTACAAAGGGAATTCTATTACACTATTTTAAAATTTTAGAATAGAATTTTTAACCAAAATTATAGTACGAATGGGAAAACGTAGAAATCAATATATTTTAATGGGAAGAGAGATTTTTAAGGAATTGGGCGGAAAGTTAAAATTCCAGGATTTTGTTATTATATATAGTATAGATGTATAAAGGTAATTGTATTACACTATTTTAAAATTTTAGAATAGAATTTTTACCCATAATTATTGTACGAATGGGAAAGGTTGAATTCAATATATTTCATTGGGAAGAGAGATTTTTTTTTAGGAATTGGGTGGGAAGTTAAAATTTCAGGATTTTGTTATTATATATAGTATAGATGTACAAAGGGAATTGTATTACATTATTTTAAAATTTTAGAATAGAATTTTTAACTAGAATTATTGTACGGATGGGAAAGTAGAAATCAATATATTTTATTGGGAAGAGAGATTTTTTAGAAATTGGGCGGGAAGTTAAAATTCCAGGATTTTGATGTTATATATAGTATAGATATATGTACAAAGGTAATTGTATTACACTATTTTAAAATTTTTGAATAGAATTTTAACCCAGAATTATTGTACGAATGGGAAACTAGAAATCAATATATTTTATTGAAATGAGAGATTTTTTTTAAATTGGGCGGGAAGTTAAAATTCCAGGATTTTGTTATTATATATAGTATAGATATAGATGTACAAACGGAATTGCATTACACTATTTTAAAATTTTAGAATAGAATTTTTACCCAGAATTATTGTACGAATGGGAAAAAGTAGAAATCAATATATTTTATTGGGAAGATAGATTTTTTAGGAATTGGGCGGAAAGTTAAAATTTCAGGATTTTGTTATTATATATAGTATAGATGTACAATGGGAATTGTATTACATTATTTTAAAAGTTTAGAATAGAATTTTTACCCAGAATTATTGTACAAATGGGAAAGTAGAAATCAACATATTTTATTGGGAAGAGAAATTTTTTAGGAATAGGGCGGAAAGTTAAAATTCCATGATTTTTTTATTATATAAAGTATAGATAGATGTACAAAGGTAATTGTATTACACTATTTTAAAATTTTAGAATAGAATTTTTACCAAGAATTATTGTACGGATGGGAAAGTAGAATTCAATATATTTTGTTGGGAAGAGAGATTTTTAGGAATTGGGCGGGAAGTTTAAATTCTAGGATTTTGTTATTATATATTGTATAGATAGATGTACAAAGGGAATTGTATTACACTGTTTTAAAATTTTAGAATAGAATTTTTACCTAGAATTATTGTACGAATGGGAAAGTAGAAATCAATATATTTTATTGATAAGAGAGATTTTTTAGAAATTGGGCGGGAAGTTAAAATTCCATAATTTTGTTATTATATATAGTATAGATTTACAAAGGGAATTGTATTACACTATTTTAAAATTTTAGAATAGAATTTTTACCCAGAATTATTGTACGAATGGGAAAAAGTAGAAATCAATATATTTTATTGGGAAGAGAGATTTTTTAGGAATTGGGCGAAAAGTTAAAATTACAGGATTTTGTTATTATATATAGTATAGATGTACAATGGGAATTGTATTACACTATTTTCAAAGTTTAGAATAGAATTTTTACCCAGAATTATTGTACGAATTGGAAAGTAGAAATCATCATATTTTATTGGGAAGAGAAATTTTTTAGGAATAGGGCGGGAAGTTAAAATTCCAGGATTTTGTTATTATATAAAGTATAGATAGATGTACAAAGGTAATTGTATTACACTATTTTAAACTTTTAGAATAGATTTTTTACCTAGAATTATTGTACGGATGGGAAAGTAGAAATCAATATATTTTGTTGGGAAGAGAGATTTTTAGGAATTGGGCGGGAAGTTAAAATTCCAGGATTTTGTTATTATATAAAGTATAGATGAATGTGCAATTGATTGAATCGTAACACAATTCAGAGATACATTAGACCTGGAAGTCTAAGCCTAACCAACTAGTCCTATACATCAGCTAGTTAGTTAAGGACTAAATCAACTATAGCTCAATCTAATGTTACATTAATAATACATTAATAATATTGACTAACACTCCCCCTCGAGCACAAGGTGGAAGAGAGACAACATTGAGCTTTCTACGTAACACTCCGAACCGCGCCGCTGCCAGTGGTTTGGTGAAGATATCTGCTAACTGATCTTTCGTCGAAACAAAATTAACCAAGAAGTCACCAGAGGCCACCTTATCCCGGACAAATGATAGTCAATCTCGACATGCTTAGTACGAGCATGAAAAACTGGATTTGCACATAAGTAGGTGGCGCCCAAGTTATCACACCATAACGTCGGTGGAGAGCCATTATGGAGACCGAGCTCGCGCATTAGGGAAACCACCTAAGTAACCTCAGCTGCCACATCAGCAAGCCCCTTGTACTCTGCCTCAGTCGAAGACCGGGCCACCGTACGCTGCTTACGAGATACCCAGGAAACCAGATTAGGCCCTAGAAAAACCGCATAGCCACTGGTTGATTTCTGTCAATAGGACACCCGGCCCAGTCTGAATCAGAGTAAGCATGTATGGCTGTAGACGGAGACACAGAAAACCAAAGGCCATGCGTGAGAGTTCCCTTCACATATCGTAGAACCCGTTTTAGCAGACCCCAGTGATCATCCGTAGGAGCATGCATATATTGACACAACCGGTTGACTGCATAAGACAGATCCGGGCGAGTAATCGTCAAGTACTGTAGAGCACCAGCTAGCCGACGATACTGTGTGGGATTTTCATATAACTCCGAAGAGGGAGCAGCAGAATATGATAGAGATGCAGGGGTAGATAGGGGCTTGCAGTCAGACATACCCGCACGAGTCAAAATATCCTCCATATAGCGCCGCTGAGACAAATGTAAACCCCCTTCAACTGACAGTGTCTGAATTCCAAGGAAGAACCCGGGCTGTCCCAGATCCCGGATTTTGAATGCCGCGGACAGACGAGTAAGCAGAGTGGTCAGTAAGGCGGTGTCATTTGCCATCATGATGATGTCATCAACGTACACCAAAAGAAAAACACGCGAGTCCTGTGCTGTGTAATAAAAAAGTGAGACATCAGTTTTGGAGGCTGAAAAGCCTGTAGTAAGTAGAAAATCATGGAGGCGCTTAAACCAGGCCCGTGGTGCCTGCTTAAGCCCGTATAAAGACCGCTGTAGAAGACACACATAATCAGGATGTGTTGGGTCCTCGTATCCCGATGGCTGTCGCATGTATACTGTTTCGGCAAGATTCCCGTTTAGGAAAGCGTTGTGGACATCTAACTGTCGTAGAGTCCAACCTTGTGATACAGCCATGGCTAGCAACATGCGGACAGTAGTCGGTTTGACCACTGGATTAAAAGTCTCAAAAAAGTCCTCCCCTGCGACCTGATTGAACCCTTTTGCCACCAAACGGGCATTGAACCGCTCAATGGAACCATCAGCCTTCCATTTAGTTCGGTAAACCCACTTGCAACCAATTATATTTAAGCCGGGTTTAGGTGGCACAAGAGACCAGGTGTTGTTATGGAGTAGAGCGTCTCACTCCTGGTCCATGGCGTCTCTCCATTCCGGATAGCCCACAGCCTGTGTATAACAAGTAGGGTCAGCAGAAACTGTTAAGGCCTGTAACGGTTCACCCGTTTTCATATGACGAAGACGCATAACATGCGCCCGTTCTTGAGGCTGAGCTGGAGGAGCACGCCTCCTTACACGCCGTGGTGCAGGTTGACTTTGAACAGCTAGGGGCCGTTCTTGAATGGTCAGTGGATGTTGCACTGCCAACGGGGCCACATCAAGTGGCGGTTTAGTTGGCTTATGAGGAACAAGTGGACCCGATGCCCATGGTGGACTCGGGTGCACCGCCGGAGTATCCATACTAGAACCTGCAGCATACGAAAAACAAGTTTCGTCAAAACGGACGTGGCGACAGATAAAGATTTTCCCGGTATTGAGGTTCATGCATCGATAACCTCTATAGGACGTGGGATACCCTAAGAAGACACAGGGTGCAGAGCGGTACTCTATCTTGTGGCGATTGTAGGGCCGTAGATAGGGATAACACTTGCACCCGAAGACGCGGAAGAAGGTATAAGGGGGGAGGGGGGGGGGGGGGGGGGGCTTTTTGAATAGTAACTCATATGGACTCGAGAACTGTATGGCTGACGAGGGTAGACAGTTAATTAGGTAAGCTTCCGTCTCAAACGCTGAGTCCCAATGATTTTGTGGGACGGAGCTATGAGCAAGTAAAGCGAGACATGTTTCAACTATATGCCAGTTACGGCGTTCAACACGGCCATTTTGCTCGTGTGTATAGGCGCATGATTGCCTATGCACAATGCCGAGTGAAGTGAAACGAGAGTGTAACTTGCGGTATTCACCGCCAAGGTCAGATTGAATGGACTTGATAGAACGCGAAAACTGGCGTTCTACCATGACACGGAATGACTCAAAAATTGCATAAATATCTGATTTTAACCGTAATGGGTAAAACCAGCAGAAACGCGAGTGGTCATCCAAAAATAATAAAAAGTAACGAAAACCACCCGCGGAAACAATGGGTGCGGGCCCCCAAATTTCTGTATATATTAGATCCAATACATTATTTCTAATGGAAATAACCCTATCTAAAGGAAATCGGGATGATTTCCCAAGTTGACACGCGGAGCACAATTGAAACGTGTTTAACTTATTTTTATCAACAGGGCAATTTTGAAGGACACGCTGTAGGGCACGATCGTGGGGATGACCAAGACGGCGATGCCAAATTTCTGTTGACGCACGGGCACTTATGTAAGCAACTTGTGACCGAGACCGAGACAGTTTGTACAATCCGCCCGTACTAGGACCTTTAAGAAGCACCGTTTTGGTTCGACAGTCCTTCACAACAAAGAAATCACGGTGAAATTCGAAAAACACATTATTATCAGTTGTAAAACGATTAACAGATAATAATGGTACAGACAAATTGGGAACATGTAATATATCATTTAGAGCTAATGAACCAGACACGGAATTTATCGATGCACTACCAATACTGGAAATATCCAAACCTGACTCGTTGCCCACTCGTAAGACATCACCACCAGTGTACGAGTCAGAGTGGGCCATCATTGTCGCGTCCGGCGTCGCGTGCGAGGTAGCGCCGGTGTCCGGGAACCAGCCATCCGCCACGGTGCCGCCATCTTCCCCGGACACTGCCACATGCGCCTGAGGAGGGGCCTGATCATACCGCCGGTAACAATGGACTGCCGTATGTCCTTGATTCCGGCAGATCTGACAGCGAGGGACTCCGCCACCACGCCCTCTGTTCTGCCAGCCACCACGGCTTCCTCTGTCGTTTCGTCCTCGCACGCCACCTCCAGAGCCGGAACCACGCGAGCCACCGCCGGAACTGGAACCACCGCGCTGCCCTCTGCCAGTGTGGAGCGCCTGATGCGACGCCGCCGGTACGCCACCCGCCGGCAGAAAGTCCTCAGCCCATATAAACTCCTGAGCCTGCAGGAAATCGGCGAGCTGGGGAATGGTGATAGGGTTACCGGAGGCAGCTAGAGAGGACGCCATTGACCGGAATTCCGGCCGGAGCCCCCGGAAGACGTAGAGGTTCTGTTCATCGAGTGACACCAGTCGGCCGGCGAGCGCCAAGTCCTCCACGAGCAGCTGCGCCCGTCCAAGATATTCGCCGGGAGAAGAGTCTCCTTGCCGGAGGCTCTGGAACTGTGCAAGAAGGTTCAAACACCTCGCCCTCGTCGATGATCCTAACGCCGATGTGATCAACGTCCATACCGCCCGGGATGTATCTCTGCCCACTGCGAGATACATAACTTCGTCCGATAAGGACGAAATAAGAAGCGACATTATGCTTTGGTCTTGTTGGATCCAAAAGCCGTACGCCGGATTGGGGGTTGGGGTGGACGGCGCGGCACCGGAGCTCGCTTCACTGGTCGCTGGCGGAAGAATTAACGCAGCCGGACATGGGGTGTCACCAGTGACATAACCGAGCAAGCCTTGCCCGCGTAGGAATGGTATTAGCTGAGTACGCCAAAATAGATAGTTTTTGGTCGTGAGCTTGAGGGATACAAGGTGGTGGGCGGTTGTGAGGTTGGTGGGGGTTGTCGACGGTGACACGGTTGCACTCACCGTGCGCTCACTAGAATTAGTCGACATGTTTGTTTTGGAGGAGAGAGAAGGGATCACCTGAGCATAACTGATACCAGATGAATGTGCAATTGATTGAATCGTAACACAACTCAGAGATACAATAGACCTGGAAGTCTAAGCCTAACCAAAAAGTCCTATACATCAGCTAGTGAGTTAAGGACTAAATCAACTATAGCTCAAACTAACGTTACATTAATAATACAATAATAATATTGACTAACAGTATAGATGTACAAAGGGAATTGTATTACACTGTTTTAAAATTTTTGAATAGAATTTTTACCCAGAATTATTGTACGAATGGGAAAGAAGAAATCAATATATTTTATTGGAAAGAGAGATTTTTTAGAAATTGGGTGGGAAGTTAAAATTCCTGCATTTTGTTATTACATATAGTATAGATGTACAAAGGGAATTGTATTACACTATTTTAAAATTTTAAAATAGAATTTTTACCCAGAATTATTATACGAATGGAAAAAAGTAGATATCAATATATTTTATTGGGAAGAGAGATTTTTAAGGAATTGGGCGGGAATTTAAAATTCCAGGATTTTTTTATTATATATAGAATAGATGTACAAAGGGAATTGTATTACACTTTTTAAAATTTTAGAATAGAATTTTTACCCATAATTATTGTACGAATGGGAAAAGTTGAAGTCAATATATTTTATTGGGAAGAGAGATTTTTTAGAAATTGGGCGGGAAGTTAAAATTCCAGCATTTTGTTATTACATATAGTATAGATGTACAAAGGGAATTGTATTACACTATTTTAAAATTTTAGAATAGAATTTTTGCCCAGAATTATTGTACGAATGGAAAAAAGTAGAAATCAATATATTTTATTAGGAAGAGAGATTTTTAAGGAATTGGGCGGGAATTTAAAATTCCAGGATTGTTTTATTATATATAGTATAGATGTACAAAGGGAATTGTATTACACTTTTTTAAAATTTTAGAATAGAATTTTTACCCATAATTATTGTACGAATGGGAAAAGTTGAAATCAATATATTTTATTGGGAAGAGAGATTTTTTAGGAATTGGGCGGGAATTTAAAATTCCAGGATTTTGTTATTATATATAGTATAGATGTACAAAGGGAATTGTATTACACTATTTTAAAATTTAAGAATATAATTTTTGCCCATAATTATTGTACGAATAGGAAAAGTTGAACTCAATATATTTTATTGGGAAGAGAGATTTTTAGGAATTGGGCAGGAAGTTTAAATTCCAGGATTTTGATATTATATATTGTATAGATAGATGTAGAAAGGGAATTGTATTACACGATTTTAAAATTTTAGAATAGAATTTTTACCCAGAATTATTGTACGAATGGGAAAAGTTGAAATCAATATATTTTATTGGGAAGAGAGATTTTTTAGGAAATCGGCGAGAATTGAAAATTCCAGGATGTTTTTATTATATATAGATAGTAGAGATGTACAAAGGTAATTGTATTACACTATTTTAAAATTTTTAGAATAGAATTTTTACCCAGAATTATTGTACGAATGGGAAAAGTAGAAATCAATATATTTTATTGGGAACAGAGATTTTTAAGGAATTGGGCGGGAAGTTAAAATTCCAGGATTTTGTTATTATATATAGTATAGATGTACAAAGGGAATTGTATTACACTATTTTAAAATTTTAAGAATAGAATTTTTACCCAGAATTATTGTACGAATGGAAAGGTTAGAAATCAATATATTTTGTTGGGAAGAGAGATTTTTAGGAATTGGGCAGGGAAGTTAAAATTCCAGGATTTTGTTATTATATAAATGTATAGATAGATGTACAAAGGGAATTGTATTACACTATTTTAAAATTTTAGAATAGAATATTGTACCCAGAATTATTGTACGAATGAGAAAAGTAGAAATCAATATATTTTATTGGGAAGAGAGATTTTTTAGGAAATTGGCGGGAAGTTAAAATTTCCAGGATTTTGTTATTATATATAGTAGATAGTAGAGATGTACAAAGGTAATTGTATTACACTATTTTAAAATTTTAGAATAGAATTTTTACCCAGAATTATTGTAACGAATGGGAAAGTAGAAATCAATATATTTTATTGGGAAGAGAGATTTTTTAGGAATTGGGCGGAAGTTAAAATTTCAGGATTTTGTTATTATATATAGTATAGATAGATGTACAAAGGGAATTGTATTACACTATTTTTAAATTTTAGAATAGAATTTTTACCCAGAATTATTGTACGAATGGGAAAGGTAGAAATCAATATATTTTGTTGGAAGAGAGATTTTTTAGGAATTGGGCGGAAGTTAAAATTCCAGGATTTTGTTATTATATAAAGTATAGATAGATGTACAAAGGGAATTGTTATTACACTATTTTAAAATTTTATAATAGAATATTGTACCAGAATTATTGTATGAATGGGAAAGTAGAAATCAATATATTTTATTGGGAAGAGAGATTTTTTAGGAATTGGCGGGATGTTAAAATTCCAGGATTTTGTTATTATATATAGTATAGATAGTAGAGATGTACAAAGGTAATTGTATTACACTATTTTAAAATTTTAGAATAGAATTTTTACCCAGAATTATTGTACGAATGGGAAAGAAGAAATCAATATATTTTATAGGGAACAGAGATTTTTTTGGAATTGGGCGGGAAGTTAAAATTTCAGGATTTTGTTAATATATATAGTACAGATGTACAAAGGGAATTGTATTACACTATTTTAAATTTAAGAATAGAATTTTTACCCAGAATTATTGTACGAATTGGAAAGGTAGAAATCAATATATTTTGTTGGGAAGGGAGATTTTTAGGAATTGGGCGGGAAGTTAAAATTCCAGGATTTTGTTATTATATAAAGTATAGATAGATGTACAAAGGGAATTGTTTTACACTATTTTAAAATTTTATAATAGAATATTGTCCCAGAATTATTGTATGAATGGGAAAAAGTAGAAATCAATATATTTTATTGGGAAGAGAGATTTTTTAGGAAATAGGCGGGATGTTAAAATTCCAGGATTTTGTTATTATATATAGTATAGATAGTAGAGATGTACAAAGGTAATTGTATTACACTATTTTAAAATTTTTGAATAGAATTTTTACCCATAATTATTGTACGAATGGGAAAGGTAAAAATCAATATATTTTATTGGGAAGGGAGATTTTTTTAGGAATTGCGCGGGAAGTTAAAATTCCAGGATTTTGTTATTATATATATAGTATAGATGTACAAAGGTAATTGTATTACACTATTTTAAAATTTTATAATAGAATTTTTTCCCAGAATTATTGTACGAATGGGAAAGTAGAAATCAATATATTTTATTGGAAAGAGAGATTTTTAGGAATTGGGCGGGAAGTTAAAATTCCAGGATTTTGTTATTATATATATAGTATCGATGTACAAAGGGAATTGTATTACACTATTTTAAAATTTTATAATAGAATTTTTACCAAGAATAATTGTACGAATGGGAAAGTAGAAATCAATATATTTTATTGGAAGAGAGATTTTTAGGAATTGGGCGGGAAGTTAAAATTCCAGGAATTTGTTATTATATATAGTATAGATATAGATGTACAAAGGGAATTGTATTTCACTATTTTAAAATTTTCGAATAGAATTTTTACCCAAAATTATTGTACGAATTATTGTACGAATGGGGAAGTAGAAATCAATACATTTTATTGGGCAGAGAGATTTTTTAGGAATTGGGCAAGAAGTTAAAATTCCAGGATATTTTATTATATATAGTGTAGATGTTCAAAGGGAATTGTATTACACTATTTTAAAATTTTAGAATAGAATTTTTACCCTGAATTATTGTACAAATGGCAAAACGTAGAAATCAATATATTTTATTGGGAAGAGAGATTTTTTAGGAATTGGGCGGGAAGTTGAAATTCCAGGATTTTGTTATTATATATAGTATAGATGTACAATGGGAATTGTATTACACTATTTTAAAAGTTTAGAATAGAATTTTTACCCATAATTATTGTAGGAATGGGAAAGTAGAAATCAACATATTTTATTGGTAGAGAGATTTTTTAGGAATAGGGCGGGAAGTTAAAATTCCAGGATTTTGTTATTATATAAAGTATAGATAGATGTACAAAGGTAATTGTATTACACTATTTTAAAATTTTAGAATAGAATTTTTACCTAGAATTATTCTACGGATGGGAAAGTAGATATCAATAAATTTTGTTGGGAAGAGAGATTTTTAGGAATTGGGCGGGAAGTTTAAATTCCAGGATTTTGTTATTATATATTGTATTGATAGATGTACAAAGGGAATTGTATTACACTATTTTAAAATTTTAGAATAGAATTTTTACCCAGAATTATTGTACGAATTGGAAAAAGTAGAAATCAATATATTTTATTGGGAAGAGAGATTTTTTAGGAATTGGGCAGGAATTTAAAATTTCAGGATTTGGTTACTATATATAGTATAGATGTACAAAGGAAAATGTATTACACTATTTTAAAATTTTAGAATAGAATTTTTACCCATAATTATTGTACGAATGGGAAAATTTGAAATCAATATATTTTATTGGGAAGAGAGATTTTTTCGGAATTGGGCGGAAAGTTAAAATTCCAGGATTTTGTTATTATATAAAGTATATATAGATATAGATGTACAAAGGTTATTGTATTACCCTATTTTAAAATTTTA